TTCCCCAGAACAGACTTAACAGCCAGATGCTGCTCTCCAGGCCACCGGACTGTGCTCCTGGCCACATGCATGCTGCATCTGTGCATATGCACAGAGCATTTATCAGCCACATCAGGAAAAAATAACCAATTTCCAGTACTGTCAATTATCCCCGTATCGGTGCCGATCCAATATGGGACCGATGTACTGGTGCACCTCTAATTTTATCTAATTCATTGCTTTTATTCTGGCCTTGAACATGTCTGTTTGTTAGATGTGGGGTACAGAAGTGGGGGACTTCTTGAGTGATCCATCTGGCAATGAGCAATCCTTCTGAATCGTGCATTTGAAATGCATCATCCTGCATTGTTCCTCATGTGACACAGCTGACAATGTCAGTTAGCATTTTAAGCTCCAGTTCAGCAAGGTACATAACCACATGTGCAGCTTGAACTGTGAGAGTGCATATTTCTATAGAAATTAGTGAATTTACTTGAGGACTTAAAGTTAATATGTGACTTTACTGAATAAGAGGCAAAATAATTATCTTTAAAGTTATGCATTTGCCCTATTTAAATCTGCTGTTCTGTATGGTGCTGAATAAGCTTTTTGGTGCACTGATGGGTATTTTTCTCTCAAACTATAGAAAAGGATTTCAGATGATATGTCCTTGTCTAGGGTTTGGCCTTGATAGTACTTCCATAATTTTCTGGATAAGTTTTACTCTGGTCGAATATGCCAGTGGATAATACAGCACATCTGTTTGTGACATTGTCCACTGCTAGATACTCCAAACGCAAAAGTGACTCCATTTTAGTACACCCATTTGTTTTTGAGCACCAATTGTTTTCTGAATAGGAAAGGGAAACATTCCTAACCAAATGGTGATTTGGATTTGATTATGTCCTGAAACAAATGGCTTGGCAACCCTTAATGTTTGTATTATTTAAGCTAGCATAATTGCAGATGTTTTTTTCTTATGCCTAAAGAAGCTTAAACTGTTAAAAGATCATGCTGCTATTTATCTTAATATATTCTAATGCAGTGTGTGGCTCAGACTAATTGTATATTGCCAGTGTATTGGATAAGGGAATCTAAATCTAAAACATCCATATCTCAAATCAGTAATATGTCACATTTTCAGTACAGGTTTCCCTCGCCAACCACAGTTTTGAGTATCCACGCTTAATATTCTATATACCATTTTGGCTACCGCAGTATACCATGGTTTTCTGTGGCCGTGCATCAACCCGTCACTTGCCATTTTTCCAATAAGCCTTTTGTCTTGCCAACCACAGTTTTGCCAACCACGGGAACTTTCAGGAACCTAACCCCAGCGGTTGGTGAAGGAAACCTGTATGATCTTTTAAAAAAGAAGTTATTGGTAAGAGGTCTACTTAGCACAGCCAGCAGGAATATCCAAACAGTTCTGCTAGTTGTAACTGTTTAGACCCTCTAGAGCTAGGAAACTGGACTGTTGTAGATAAAGTAGTTTTGTTCAGTAGTCTTGTGGACAATAAATTACTTGTTTGGGTATTGAATAGTGATTGTTGGCTCACTGCCAAGAAAACCTTTCATTGACCTGTTTTGTAGTGTACATGATCTCTGATATGCATCTGATTCTTGACACATGCATTTCTTCTGATTTCCTTCTCCCAGTGTCCCTGAAATAGAGCTAAAAAATGCAAAAGGCTTGTCAAATGAAAACATTAATTTACTAAAAAAACAATTGGAGGAGTTGGCAAAACAGTGCTGTGGAGAGGTAAGAGTTTTTTTGTTTGTGAAAAGCCTCATTTACTCCTAAAGAGTTTTGAAAATGTTGCAAAGTTAACTATTGTCAAAATATGGAACTATAAATATATCAAAATTAGGAGATGGTTATACCTCACTTTGTAAACTGTAAATTCTGCTTCCAGGCTCATTTTTATACATGTTTACCTGCATAGAAATATCCTACAGATAAACACATCTGTGTTTAATTTTCTTTCTTTTACCTTTTGACATGGAGAAAAACTAAAAGTGTTAGTTCCTTCAGTATGTTAAAATAGGAAATTGAGAGCAAAAATATCCTTGTAGACCTCTATGTCAGTTGCCTTCGCACATTGGTCTGGCCATATTTGCTTGGCTTGTTTTTTAATTTTATGGTATATTTCTGTTCTATTACATCTAATAATTCTCTGACAGCTTCTTTAAAAATATTCCTCAAAACATTTTCAGTGCCTCTGGGAACTAACAGTTTACTATTGGACTCCTGACGTTTTTGTAAAAATGTGCTAAAGACAGTGAGACCTAATATCTGAAGTTAGGTGAGGGTTCTCTAGTTGCGATGCATTTGCTGATGATTCATGGAGAATTACTTGGTCACATCATGTCGATACTCATCCTTGTTTCTAGTTGTTACTTTATCTTAAAACAAACTAAAATCTTTAAATATTTTTCTAATGCTACTCTGTTTCTGTATGCAATTGCTGTCCTTGCTACAGGAATATGTTCTAAAAACATAAATCGGAAAAGAATTATTTTCACTAAAGAACAAGATGGTAGACTCTGAAAGGGTTCTTTATTAAATGTAGTCTGTGCTATGAGAAGTTTAGGGGGTTTCCATACCTAGTCCTATTAAAGGCATGTTATACCAGTGGTACCCAAACTTTTGACCTGACAGGTCAGGTGGGTGGTGCCAGACACTTCCATGGACTGCATCCATTCGAATGAGCACAGTCTAGCTGTGGGGGGGTTGTGCAGCTCAACCTTGATACGTCCCAGTCTGGACACACATGGTGGAGGAGGAAGCAGCCCAGTCCCCATTCAGATGCACAGGGTGGAGCAAGTCACGTCAGGCCTGGGCAGCCCCAATCTGGATGTGCAGATTGAAGAAGGGTTGGAGTGGTTCCAATCCAGATTGGCGAGGGGTGGGAAGTTAGGGTGGGGAAAAAGAGAGCATCCTTGCCCCAATCCAGATACGGCCATTGCCCATATACGTGGGCAGTGACCCAGGGCAAGACTAGAGCTGGCTGTGTGGAGCTTCCACTGCTCTCCATTGCCAAGTTTCCAATGTAGGAGAGCCCCGCAGACTGAATGTTATGCCTCTGTGGGCCTCATTTGGCCTGAGGGCTTGAGATTGAGCACCCCATGTTATACTATAGAAAGAAGGTTATACTTTTAGAGCAGTGGTCCCCAAACTTTTTAGACCGTGGATTGGCAAACGATGGACCGGAAGTGACCGTGGACCAGGAAACTGCAGACCAGCATACTGCGGACTGGCAGCCAACCCTTTTTTAAACTGAGTATAAAAAGGGGTTGGCTGCCGGTCTGCAGTATGCTGGTCACTTCTGGACTTCTGGTCCAGCAGCCAACCCTCCTGCGGACCGGCAGCCAACCCTTCGGAGCCCAGTACCAGGCTGCAGCCCGGAGGTTGGGAACCTCTGTTTTAGAGTGTTTAGAAATGTCTTTTTTATTTGCTTTTGTGTATCTGGGCACATGTTCTTAGTTTAAAGTGATACCCTAGAAAAGGTGTTTTATTTTGTGCATGGAATAAGAAGATGCATGCACAGTGCGGTATGCCTTCTGTTTCCATGTTGCCCTCTGGCTTTATTATGTGCAAGCAAAGGATTAATTATTTAAGATGCTTGTAAATCTCTTTCTGCTTGAGGCACTGTGTGCAGTATGCTGTTATCACATACCTTCTTGCAACTACAAACCTAGCCCTATCTGGGCCAATCAGTAAGTTGCTCAGGTGAGGAGAGAGAACTTTTTACATGGTGTAGCATTAATTTTGGAAGAATAGTTGCCTTTTTCATGTTTAGGATTGCTGAAATTAAAAAATGGGCATTACTTGATTGATACAGTGGGTCATCCAACCCAAGCTGGCAGTGACAGAAAACTATTACTGTCTGGCAGGACTAGAAGTAACCTTGAGTCATGGGCTCAGTCCACATCCAACTGGATGATGGAGGAATAGCTATCCTAAATGATTCTGTTACATCTATCGTGTAATAATAGTCAACTGAATTGGTACCTTTTATGATAGTCTTAATAGAGAGGCTAACAGCTGAATGGGTTCAGGAACTGGTCTATTCTCTGAGTGTCCTGAGGCAGTCTTTTCAGATGATGGTTGAGATATAATTAGGAGCTTGTAATACCAGTCACTGTCCATGTTATCTGTTCTGTTTAATATATTTAGGAGTTTGAACTGTTGGTGTGATTCTTTCTATTTTATTATAGAAAACAAATTTAGTGTGAGAGGAGAATTGTGGCCTGATGGCTTTGACAGTATGGCTTTTCATTGCTGATCTGCCTAAAATTTCAAACTGAGCCATCATGCTCTTGTCAGGTTGCCAAGTTATCTGAGATTGAGAGTGGTTCTGCAGCTGTAATGATGGGTCTGAGATGCAGGGGAAAATCACAATATGATAATAGCAATTAAATAAACAATTTATTCTCAGCAGTCTATGGAGAGTGTGCAGTTTTTGTAATACATTTTTTGACCATTTCAGTAAAAATAAAATCATTAGAATTGGGAAATTATTTGTCTTAATCAGGAGTATTTCATATTGGGATTGATATAAATGAAAATTATATAGAGAAAACTGTCTTTGTTGCTCTGGTTAGTGATTAACCAGTCACAGTTACTAATTACAATTCTGTCAAATAGCTGTGTCAGGAAAAGCATGCTCCTTCTCCTGATGCATAACTGAGCATTGTCAATAGGAGTCTACTGACTTAAATGCATTTCTAAATTGGGTACCTCATTACTACATTATGTTGCTGTACTTTTACAGTATTTTGAAACTGGATTTCATTTATGTTTACTTTTGTTTAGGTAATGATATTTGAGCTTGCAGACCACATACAGTCATTTCTCAGTGAGTACAATAAGCCACCTTCTAAATCTTTTCATGAAGAAATGCTAAAAAATCAACAAAAAGAACAAGAGAGACTGGCCCAAGAAGAAGAGCGTCAGATTCAAGAAGTTAAAAGAAGAGAGGAACAGGAAGTAAGAATTAAAATGGGGTTGGTCTCACTGTCATTTTAGATAAACAGTCTCACTTCAAGAAGGGAACTTTAACAGAAATCTTATTAAATGGTCAATACATTTTTTAATAAATGATTGCTCAACAGAAATGGATAATCAGTCCATTGAACCAATAGGTTCCTTAAAACTGTGGCTTATTTACTGATGTTCCTTATCACCATCAGCAAAATCTAGCATCTGAAACAAGATCATAAATATATTATTGATCCATTATAAACAATTAATGGATATAATCTGGAATCTGCTTCCCTTCCCTCTCTCACGCCTCCTCTCTCTCTCTCTTCCCCCACCATGAACATACAAAAAACATTTTGTCTTCAGCTTTAGAGGGAGGTTAGTGTTTTAACCCCCAGTGTTTAACACCTTTTATAATGTCAGAAAATTACAGTATCTTGGCCTCTATTTTGGAATATAATAAATCTCTGCCAAATGGTTGTTTTGTACCAAATACATGGCTTATGTTAACCCACACAATGTTCATTGTAGGGTGAAAGTATCCACATTAAAAGTTAGGGCAGAATGGCTACTGCATTTTAAATCTTCAAGTCAGGTTATTTCTCAATATCTTTTCCATGTATATGAGCCCTAAGAACTTCCTTTTTAACTTGAGAGCTCTGGGTCTTTAAAAGTAATTTTCCTTTACCTATTCCTTTTTTCTTTGGCATAACATTTTATTGATGTAGCTAAGAGAAATTGATTTGACTTCAGTATTTTGTGCTCCTGGGGTCATTAGATCCTCTCAGGGGTAGGATCATAGGTTACTTTGTGTTTGGTTTTAATTCTCTGATAACAGTAAAATGTATTTCAGCAACGTGAAATTCTTGATGAGATTCAGAGAAGGGAGGAGGAGAAAAGAGAAGAGAAAAAAAAGAAGGAAATGGCAAAACAGGTAATCATGTAATAACATTGGTTGTAAGCACTTGAGCACATGTTTTATAGCAATAAGGAAAATCAAATGATTAAATTAGGTCAAATGATTTCTCATTTTTCCCTGTGACATGCATCTGATGGATGTTGATATGTTTTAAGAAACGTTTTGTGTTTTGATCAATGCAATTTCTTAAATAAATTTGCCATGTAATAAACTAAGATAAATAAAATGTATTTTATTTTTCAGTTGACTGATATTTTTCACTTGCAAATGATCAGAAAGACTGAAATAGAAGATTATACAAAAATTATAAATTGTATTTAGTATTAAATGTCCTTGTGTTATTGCCAGTAGGTAATTGAAAGACATTCTTTTTGATTTTCAGTACTACTTCCCCAACATCATGAATGAATTTATCTTGGGAACCTAGTTATCTAAGTGTCTTTGCACGGTAATAGTGAAGTTGATCCATGCATCTTAAAAAAAAAAAAAAAAAATAAAGCAATCCCTTTCTTTTTCTTAATTCTCAGGAACGTTTGGAAATTGCTGCTTTGACCAGCCAGGAAAATCCTTCTGGAAAAGATACTGGAGGGCTCAAATATGGTACCAATTTAAATGGAGGCTCTCTGGAACATGGAGGGAACAATAAACATCGTGCACATTCCATTGGGCGTTCAAAGTAGGTGGTATTTTGTTTTGGATAATGTAGAAGGTTTTTTTTACTTAGAATGTTAGAAGTTAGATGAAATGTCAAGGGTTGTATCTTGCAGTAGTTCATGAGCTTTTTATTTTTTTTAGTAGAGAGGATTTCAGAAAGTCATATACCAAGGCATAGGTGGTCTAATGGTTTACACAGACTATTAGCCAAAAGTCTGAGGAGTAGGAAGTGTCAAAGCCAGAGGGTCAGAGCCCTAGCTGGGCGAAACACTAGGCAGAGCAAGGTCATGGAGCAAGCTGGGTCTGATACCTACGAGAACCAAGTTCCAAGACCTGAGATGTAAGCAGAGGTCAAAGTCCAAGCTTGGTTAGCAATGGATGGTCAGATATAGAAGCAGAGCAAAAAGGCAGAGAAACAGAACAGTCCAAGGGCAACTGGAGCCTTGTCTGGACAGCTTCCCCAGGAAACAGGAAGCCTTATATAGGTGGGAGAATCCAATCCAGGGCGAGGAGCCCCAGGTCAGTCAGAGGCTACCAGTGGGAGGTCTTTCCCTGTTGGGACTTCCATGCCATTCTTCTTTCTTCCAAGAGTTGTGACCTGGTGGAGGATCAAGCTGGTGCTCAGTCCCAGAACACCAGGTCAGGAGTTTAGGACTGGGGTCTGACCTTTGCAGAACATGTTATCTTTGCAGAACATGTCTCTTTGCAGAACATGTTATCATGAGTTTTTTTTTTTTTCTTTTGTTTTACTGAGTGCATTGGTTTCATCTTTCTCCTAAGTACGAAAAATGCAATAAAGTTGCTTAAAACAAGATGTAGATAAAATATTTAATAAGCATTAGAAGAGGTTTACCACTTAAAGTATTTTAATTCAGGAGTGTGTTGTTATGCCTTTTTTTGGTTAAAACAAACAACTCACTTTGGTTCCTGAGCCAATCAGGGCTCAGTGTCATTGATGTATGAGGCTTAGAACAGCATAGCAAGCGTAGAACTTGGTTTCCCATTAGTAGACTTGCTAGTAAAGAAACATCTGCAAACTCCCTAAAGGGGTTGCAGCTTCTGCCAGTTCCCCAAACAGCATCAAGTCAATCTTTATTTCATGCAAAAGGACATTTTGCTGGTATAAGAGCAGCTACAGAGCTGTGTCATTTAGGTGTGTGTTTTCTTCCGACTCCCAAGTGGCACAGCTATATCAGTAAAACTGCAAAGTGTAAACCAAGGCTTAACCCTAGAAAGACTCCTTTGGTTACCAGACCTTCAAAGAAAACCCTGTGATACCAGCTAGGTGTCTAATGGAGTGAAAGGAGATTAATGGAATTTCTGTTAGAACTGATGGGCAATCTTGGTCCTGGGTATGACGATAAACTAAATCTGGTTGGAGGGCTTGGTGGCAATATGGTGGGGCTGCTCATGGTGGGATAGCTCCTATAAAATACCACAATGTTGCAACCTCCAAAGTAAGACAATTATAGGACAACTCAAAACCTTACTTTCTGCCACCTTGTAGTACTCCTTGGTTGGAGAAAGGCTAAGTGTCATTACCTTGACTTCTAGAAATGCACTCTTGCTAACTGCTTGTTAGGCAGTCAGCAGCAGCTCTAATCTGCTGCTGTGGCAGAAGCTACAACCGTTGAGACATTGAACATCCGTACTCAGTCTGGCCTTTCGACTCTGTCTTGATGGTCTAAAGGGGGTGTGATAGGTCCAAGGTAGCCTCTGCTCTTTCATGCCCTTGCCTAGGCATATGCATTGAAGGTCTTGATGTGATGGTCTCATAGATCTCTTGCATATACACCATGATCCAGAGGATTGATGGTTGCTAAAACCAGATGGACAATCTGGAACAGTAGAGGGTGTGAGCTGCTGAAATTCCAAATCTTGTCTCTACAGAATAACCTGGCCAATTAGTTTGTGTTAGTTCCTCTGAGGCAGAACAGGAAGAAGTCCTGTTCTTCTCACTCTGGCCTCTCTAGTGTCCATGTAAGAGACCTTGTATCATTTAGACCAGGGCTGTCCAACTTCTGGACAACTGGGACACCATGTGTAGCCCAGATCCTTTCCTTTCTTAGACATGAATGTAGGCTCCCTCCCCCTCAGCACAGGCAGCGTGGCTGCTCCCTGGAGTACCTGCCTCCCCCCTCCCCCACACTGCTTTCCTGATTGGGTGGAAATAGCTGATGCATTGAAGTAAAGGTAGACCATAGTTCATGTGCCACCACCTTCCAGGGCATAAGAGGAAGATTCAGGGAGGTATTGCCTGTCACATGAAGAACTGCACCTATAGTTTTTATTGTGAACAATGTGAAGCTTAGTGCTATTTAAAAATATGGGAGCAAGGAGAGGAAGGTTGACATTCAAAAACTGTAAAGCCAACAAGACACCAGAACTTACCAGCTCTGTAAAGCTTTGCTTCCTGTTGCTGTCCACCCCTTCATGGGTGCAGACAGAAGAGCAGCTCCCTGTTTCTTCTAATAGCAATTTGCAGGAAGCACTATGAGTTGCAGCAATTTCTCAGAGGTACCAGAAGTTCACTGTTAGGTCTGGGAGTTGGGGATTCCATCTGCTTGCTGCCAGCCTACAGCCCAGTCTCTGCTGCAACACCACTCCCCCTCCCAGCCTGGATGCTGTTTTCAGAATGGGAGGGGGAAGGGAGCAGAGGGAAATTGTTTTTTGAGTTTCCCATTCAGTGCTGGAGGGTGGGGCGGGTGGATTAGAGCCCCCCCTTGGGGGCTCCAATCCATCCAAACTCCCTCCATCCCTTTCCCCCCCTCCCATTTTGAAAATAACAACAGCCTGGTAGCTCTGGAGACACAAGTTATAGAATGCGCTCTGTCTTTTTGCATGTTCATCTGACCCCTCATGCAATGTGGGTTCAGATTTTTGCAGAATTGGGCCCTTTTAAAGTGGTCTGCAGCTGTGTATTTCTGTTTGCTTATGACTGTAGACCACTTTCTAGGGTCAGATCAGGCAAAATTTGTCACTTCTGTCTGTGCCCCATGTGTATGTTGCTGATACAGATTGCACTGCATTCTTTCTTGGTTGAAAAGCACCTTGCTCCTCTGTTCTCTCCTCTTACTCTCTTGTTATTGGTTGCATTTTCCTTTCTTGTTTTTTTCCCTCCTTCATAGAAAATTAGTGTTGGAAGGGACCATCTAGTCCAACCCCCTGCTCAAAGCAGGACCATCCCAACTATATCCTTCTAGCCAAGGCTTTGTCTAGCTGGGTCTTAAAAACTTCCAAGGACAGAGATTCCACCACTTCTCTGGGTAACCTGTTCCAGTGTTTATGTATTTTTTTAAAACATTTTTTTTCACAAATATTTTACAATGGGTACAGATATCTTTGATAAAATTTCTTAGGCCTCCTTTGTGTGCTTCTGTGATAGTTGTGTTGTCCTTCCTCCATTGTCCCTCATTATTCATATTCGACCAGTATTTCCATTAATTTTTTTATATTACAATGCTCTTTTTCATATCTTTTCCCTAATAAGGTTTCACTATTCTAGGATCATTTATTTTTTGGCCACTATGCAAAGACAAATATCCCTAATAACTTGCATTTACTCATGTAATAATATGCTTTAATTAATACATCTCTCTATAAAATGAATTCTTTTTATAAAGACTTGGCACAACATGATTTCCATTTTATATATCCACATGAAATAAATAAAGATACTTCTCATAGCTGCTGTTAACAATGTTGGAAATAGACAAAAAGGTGGAAGTTGAAATCTCTGTCACTACCACTGTTAGTTTCATGTTGCAGAATTAAGTGACAGCTTGGCAGCTGAATTTTCTGAAGGTCATCTTCACAATAAGAATGTCAAGTGTGCATGGGGAACCTTTTTTTGGTTAATAGAACCTGGCCAATTCAGTTAACTCCTGGGAATATGTAAGAAGATTTGTAGGTCTTATTGAAATATTCAGATGTCTCTCATATTAATTAGTATTTGCCATACTATTCCATCTGGGACAAATATTTTTATCCATTAAAATTAGAAATTAATGGATATTTCAGGTACCCAGTTTAAGGGCTGTGATTCTTAATCTTTGCAAAAATCTAGGTTTCATTTCTGTAGTTTTTATTTCCATGGTTATATTTTTAAAATAAAGATTGCATCTAATTTTTGTATGTATATTTCTTTAGGAATATTAAATGTGTGCAACCACTGCTGGTGGTTTTGCAATCTTTGAAAAAAATGTGAATTTGAGTTTACTAGCAATACTTAGCTCCTGTTACTATTCTTTCTTCAAATTGCTTTAAATATTAGTGTAGCGATTGGTCAGCTCTGCCTTCATTATGCCTTTATAGGAAATGTGTGATCTAAAATTCCGTTTAATTGTTGTTCCCTGGTAAATGGTAATTTAATCATCGTTTCATAGTAGCTAGGGTCAGGAGGGACCTGAACAGATCATCTAGCCTGACCCCCTGCCACAGGCAGGAATGAATGCTGGGTTCACAAGACCCCAGACAGCTGATCATCCAACCTCCTCTTGAATTTGCCCAAGGTAGGGGCGAGGACCACTTCCCTGGGAAGTTGGTTCCAGATTTTGGCCACCCTAACTGTAAAATATTGCCTTCCAGTCTCTAACCTAAACCTGTTCTCCATCAGCTTATTACCATTGCTCCTTGTCACCCCAGGTGGTGCTGGGGAGAAAAGGGCTCTACCTATTTGCTGTTGATCTCCCCTGATGAGCTTGTAGGCAGCCACTAGGTCTCCTCTCGGCCTCCTCTTGCTGAGGCTGAACAGGTTCAGGTCCTTCAGTCTCTCCTTGTAGGGCCTGTCCTGCTGCCCTCTCACCAAGCGGGTGGCCCTCCTCTGAACCCTCTCCAGGCTGGCCACATCCCTTTTGAAGTGCGGCGCCCAGTACTAGACGCAGTACTCCAACTGCGGCCTGACCAAAGTCGCATAGCGGGGGACCTCTCTGGGCTGGCTTAAGATGCACCTTTGGATGCATCTTAAGCCAGGTATGGCTGGCCTTGCTGGCTGCGGTCTGGAATTGGCGGCTCATGTTCATCTTGGAGTCAATAATGACTCCAAGATCCCTTTCCGCTTCTGTGCTTCCAAGAAGGGAACTCCCCAGCATTCCTTAGAGCCCATTCTGTATCTGCCAGGGCATTCAGCTAGCTGCATGTACATTGGGGAACTCCATGCCACACATTTAAGTTAAACAAAGATGTTCTATATTCAGTGGCTGGTTTGCATCATGTTTTAATGTACATGCGTGTCATGGAGGTCCCCAATCTCCAGGGCTGGAACCAATAATTGGCTGATTCTCAGTCTCAGTCCTAGGATTGCACCCATTCACTGGGCACCTGACTTTCTGCTTGTTGGTGCAGAGGGAGCCCAAGATCACCCCTGACAAATAGTAACGGCACAGTTGGGATCTGATCTCCAATCCCAAAATTGCACTTCCTGCCATGCCACGTGTGGCAGAGGTGCTATTGTTGGGATCGGGGAATAAATCCCACCTCGTCATTAATTGAACATGTGCTAGGGACCTGAGTAATTCACAAATATTGATCTTTCTGAGAGATGATGAACTGACAACATCTATACTTTTGAGGTTGGGGAGACTGAGGCACAGAAATTAAAATTTTAAAAAGCCACTGATTTTGGGTGTTTTCAATTGGAGATGAATAGGACCTGATTTGTTAATTTATTTAGATATTTAGCAGTCTTTGGCACTTTTTATGTTCAAGACAATCACCACTGAAAATGGTTGTGGGCTGTTAGGGCTTAGGACTTCTCCAAATCAGAGCCCAGAAAGGCTCAGATTGGACAGCTGGAAAATGAAGAATGCACAATTTGTGACCACTTGCAAAAAGTTTTAAGTGGTGACATTGTTAGAGGGAGACAGAGAATTCAGTTCTCCCAGGGACACATTCATTTCTCTTTCTATAATCGCCAGCCTCCTACCAACGTCTGAAACAAATGAGGTAGGGGTTCTTTAGACAAGTCTCCTTCACCATGCAAATCTGATTCCTTTCCAAAGCATCTCATCTCTTTGTAATCCAGTAGCTAACTTGGGACATTGGGATCGGTGAAACAGAAGTCCTGTGGGGAAAGAGATGGTATGTGGTTATCATACATATGTACGAGAGTCAAAATAAGTTAGTACAGCCATCCTTAACTCTGACATTTCCTAACCTCGGATTGCTTTTTATTTTAAACTTTAATAATAGTCTTTGATAATAAATATTCTGCATGTGATGCATACAGAGTGGTTGAGTGTCAACTTACATGCAGTGAACAGTATTTAATCAGCATGAGCAGGTGTAGGGGGGTGATGGACAATTACTGATATGCCTTCTAGGAAAAGTCTGTTTTGATAATTGGTTAGATAATTCTTAAACAGTTGAAAAAACTGTTCATCTGCTTGAGCAGATTTTGTCTGTATCTTGTCAGGGGAATTTGTAAATAGACACAGTAGTAGTTTGTACATTTATCTGAAGTGTCAGCCACCAGCTTAACTGGGTCTTGTAAGTTTTTCACTTTCTAAAAGTGGCTACAGGCTACATTTGAAAAAGGAAGGTAGGGAGGATTGTATATCTTTATAAAGAGATTTATCGGCTATAATCTAGGCCAGTGGTTTTCAACCTTTTTAAGTAAGTGTACCCCTGGTGGCCCCCTTTTTAATAAGTGTAAACCCGGGGGGGGTGGCAAGTGGCCCGCTCCAGCCCTGCTCCTTTGAGGCAGTGGTGCGGGTGGCAGCGCTGTGTACCCCCTGTGACCTTTCAAAGTACCCCAAGGCGTACATGTATTCCCAGTTGACAACCCCTGATCTAGGCAGATCTAAACAGGGTGAACACTTACGCAGTGCTTAGGTTCTAAACCTAAATGCTTAGCCTATTTGAAACCAGACACCAATATTTTCTATGCAAGTACACTGATTTTTTTTCAAATGTTTTGGGGAGCAGTTGTCAAAAAAGTGTGCCTTAGAAATGAAGTGAGAGGGTTAGCAATGTGCATTACCTTTCGTTGTTTGTGACAGTATTTAAGGATAATCACGGATGGGGGAAAAAAATTCTGTCTGTTTTGGGATTCGGGGTTTTTTTTTAAATACCTTATGACATCTAGTAGGAATTTCCGTTCTGTTTGACTCAGTGACATTGGCAATGTAAGACAAAATAAAATTCCTCAGACTATCTTTTGCATATTCAGCCCTGGGAAATTAAATAGTAATATAAGAACTGCAGCTTCTTGTAGTCCTTAAATTCTGTTGAAATGTAGGTATATAGATTTGCTGGTGACCAGCAAAGTATGCCGGGTGCGAACTTTGACATTCCCAGTGCCGATGTGAGCAAATTTTCCAGTCAAGACCCATATTATGGTGCTGCTCACAACTCAGAATCTTATTTTCAAGAATGATTTAGCCACTTTAAGTGCTTTTGATCATTTTGGGTGCTTACAGGCATGGGGGGGGAAAAAACCCAGTGATTTACTTTCAGCTTGGTGTGCCCCTGCTGAAGAGGAATTCCCAGAAAAGGAATCTTATGAATTTGATCCAGCTCGCCCAGCATCTGTATAGCTCATGCGCTTCAGTGAGGCTTTTGGGCACTTTTATCTAATAGCTGATTGAATCAACTATTAGATAAAAGCTCCAAAAGCCTTGCTGAATTGCGAGAGCTATACAGATGCTGGGGAGCTGGATCAAACTGATGCAATTCCTCTTCCAGTAAAGTGCTGTTGTTTTTTGTTGGGGGTTTTTTGTTATTGTTGGTTTGTTTGGTTTTTTTTGAGTGGGGGTCCACATTTGTCAGCACCCTTTAACTTGAGTCTCCAGCCACATGCAAGTCATTGGATGGAAAACAACTGAAAAATAACTATCCAGTTAACAGTAGTGCTTGAAGAGCTCAGTCTTGCTCTTTTAACTATTGTTGCTTCACATAATTGTTATTACTGCCTGGAAGGATGTGTTTATATGGAAGAACTGCATGTACTCTGGCTGGTCTCTGTAGCATTCAAGCAACCAGGATACAGTACAAATAAATGAAAGTGTAAAGTGGTGGTGGAGGAAGGCATTTCTGTTAAAATACAGCCTCCAGGAAATCTCTACTCATATGATTAGCGTAACTGGGAGTTGCATGATTGCTTCAGGTTTTATATATTTTCCACCATGAGATCTTTCATTGTAAAGTACAATGTAATTCAATCATTTTATTTAAATAATGTTGTGGTGTATATAGCATATCTTAATTTAGAAAATTAAATGGACATAGTTGTGCTTTTGTAAAACTAGTATATATTTCATTTTCCAAAAATACTATCATAAATGCCTTATCTCCTTTTAACTGGTTTGTTTTTTTTTCCCTTTTGGATCCACTGGACTTTTGAAAAGAGCTTTTAGCTTCTATGCTGACTCTTTCATATATTTAAGATATCTGTAGCATTACTGAATTTTATGGAAGAGTGTATTGTCTGATGGCTGAGTTTTGAAGTCAAGTTACATCCAGGTATATCCTAGACCTACTACAGTGTAGATTATGTGATTTGGTTTTAGGAGACTGCCTTGTTTGTCCTTAAGTGTTCTTTGTGACATTCCACACACCCACAGAGCATTATTTATTTTAGCTCTGAAAAACACAGAAGACTAGGCTGTATGTGTTTGAGATAAGTGCTAGCTGTGATTGCTTGTTCAAAGTGCACTGTTGAATTAAGCATTCTACACATGAGAGAAATTCTTTGGGCTTCCAGTAACACTTTAGTTTATTAATATGAAAATATATTTAAAATATAATTTTACTCTTACCAGTTAGCTAACTAATATTATTTCTCTTCATGCAGCTCAAGCAATTAAACTAAACTGGACTATTGCATGCACTGATTTTCATGTATAAGCAGAAAGCTGTTACATTTAGGTTTAGAGTGCTACAGGCAACTGTGAATTAAACAAGTTGTCATTTATGTTCCCTAAAAAAAAATTAAGAACTTTCTACAAATATTTAGGTTTTTAAAAGCTCCCTAATCTCTCCCCCTTTTGCACAAGACTTACATTTGGGGAGCTAGGCTGCTAAGTATTCCTTTAAAAAAGTGGGCTTTTAAGTTAGATTCTGCATTTGTTACTCCTCTTAAAACAAAATATAATTTCTGGAACTTAATGGAAAACTTTATATGTTTATTTCTTTAAAGCACTTCGAAAATTGCTAAAACATCAGATATGTATCCATTTATTTTCAGAAATACAGCAACCATTGTAGGCAGTACTTAGTTCCAGGGGGCAGGAGCATGAAGGCCTGCATTCAGTATTTGGGCATAGGCTTAGATGCTTTGCTCAGTTAGCGTGTATGTATGGTAGAGACTCAGTGCAAGTCACTATTGCAAGCAGAAGTTTACACTCCTACAGACCCATTCACTTCAGTGGGAATATTGAGCCTTGTCTATGCTGTGGTCTCTTCCACTAAAAGCATATCAGTAAAGCCCCTTATTGTAGCCACAACATATTCTAATAGAAGGAATTTTCTACCAGTTTAGATGCACCATCTTCCTAACCAACATAGGCTAATACAGGAAAAGCACAAAAACAACCGCATCTGTACCAAAGGCTTTGCTGATATACATTTCAGCTAGGGGAAGTGATCTTTTCATACCCATATAAGCAGGTTTCCTAGGAAAATGTTGTAGTATAGACTAAGCCTGATAATCCACAGTTCTGCAAATGCAAGTTGTAAAACTGATGCCTGTTTTGATGCACCGATAATATATTATGAATTGAAGAAAAATTATGTTCTTGCTTACATTATAGGCGGGAACGTCAGTATTCTGTGTGTAGTAATGAAGAGTCCCCTGGAAATCATGAAGTTTTGTATTTCAGTATTGCTGGTACTGGGCAGCTTGTTGTCCACAAAGGAAAATGTATAGGTGAGTAAATAGCAATTACAGCTTCAATATTTTTAAAACGTTAGTGTTTGCATAAGAAGAATACATGAATTAGTTGTCCATTAAATGAAGGTGAATCGGCCTGCAGGGACATTTGAATAATGTTATGGGCAAAGCTGGGGAGAAAGCTGTAAGAACATGGAGAGCCCCTGGTAAGAGTAGGGCAGAGTAATGCAAGATTTTTTTTTGTGGTTGAATTTGTATTTTTGTATTTAGGAGTAGTTGTAGTTAAATGTATTTAGAACTATAGAAATAATTTATAAATTCATGGTATTTCCAGGAGGAGAAAGTAATAATTTTATTACTTGACACCTAAAAACTCATGAAAAGACTTCACTACCAATCTTGAAACTGTACAGATATTGATACTACCTTTAAGGCCATATATAAGACTAGGACTAGAAAACACAACCCTAATTGAAAATTTTTACAAGAAACATTGGGGTAAGCAAGATGAGAAGCTGAGATAAGCCTGTGGGCTTTAGAAAACCTGTGAGAATTGAACTAGCAAAACTTTACAGCATTGTGTCTCACTATAGCTCCTTAACCTGGGCAGCGGATTTGCTGTTGAAAATTCTACTTTCTTTGAATGTAGTTTTGTTAATTTTCATATTGAGGATATATGATGATGTCACTATGTAGAGATCAGCAACTGAAGAGGCTAGCAAGTGGGGAAAAGCTTTTTTAGTTGCTGAAACCACAAATTCCTTAAAATGTGTAATAGTTTATGCCAGTGCAAATTTTGTGCTCGTGTGCTCATTTAATTACTCACTAATCTTTGAGTTTGGTTTATGTATAATTTGATTTCAATTGAGCTAACTTTGCGTAGACAATGAAATGGAGTTACAGATCTTGTAGTTTGGGTTAGGTTTATGTTTGATTTTTCAAACTTATAAGAAACAAGCTTTTTAATTTCATTCAAAAGCCATCTATTAGAATGCTGTCAGGGGGAAAATGATGTTTTTTCTTCTCCTTTATTTTATGCGTAGATAGGGATGAGCAGCTTGGTAAATCAGTCTACAATGCCTTGGAAATACGGAGTGGCGATTTTGTCTTAGTACACGAATGGGTTCTTCAATGGCAGAAAAAAATGGGAAGATTTCTTACAAGTCAAGAAAAAGATAAGATTGATAAATGCAAAAAACAGGTATTAAACAGCTTTTCCTCCAGTTGTCAATATATTGTATAATTGTTGTTATCCAGCTTTATGAATCTGAGACCAATTACTGAATTAGGGTATATCAACCAACCTCTTTCAATGTTCAGCTGAATAATTAAGTTGCCAAGGCAAAGGAGAACCAAGGTGTCCTGAGCAGGGGTGTTGAAACACCAGGATGAGCAGTAGATCCTAAGGATCCCAGAAATGCTACAGGAAAGGAGTTTTAGGGCTGTTCCATCCTTCACCTTTCTCCGCAGTCCCTTCCTGAGTATGTAGCGTAATGGTATTTTGGAAACTCGCATGGTCAGCAGGTCCGAAACTTTGGGCACCTATATACATGACAGAGCTCTGCTCCGACGCATACTAATTAACACACATCAGAGCAGACTCAATTAATCAAGTCTGCTGCAAATCTGCTGGAGCATGCTAATTAGCATGCTCCAGTAGCCTCCACATCACACGTATTCAGCGTTCTCACTTTTCAAAATGACGACGGGGGCACTTTTAACTAAAGCTTGTTCAATGAGCTTTAGTTAAAGCACTCCTGCTGCCATTTTGAAGCACAGGACGCTGAATATATGTGACACTATGGGCACTTTAATTAGAGCAGCTCTCAGAGCCACTCTAATTTAAAGTGCCTTCCCTTTTACCCTGGAGCACATGTATAGATGCCATTGGTGTTTAACTTTGGTTCTCATTAGAACAGATTTCATTAGACCCTGCTGGTCATATTGTTTAAAAATACAATATTATATTGGCATCTTTCAAAACCTTTGGATTATTAGGGGTTTAAGAATTAGTAATGGGAGAAATCTCAAAGCCATTAATATTTATCAGTGTAGCACCCACAAATTTGGATGTTGGTTGAAACCTTTGTTGAATTTCTTGAATGTGCAGACTAAAGAGGTTGTTCTTAAGGGACCGGACTTTGCTTCCATATAAATGATGGAGGTAAGAAGTGCAAAAGCACATGAAGTCACAACAACTCTTGTTCAAATTATTCATATTTCTCAAAAAATGGGTTGAAGTCTTGGGCATAAGTATGGTTCTTTTCTTAACCATATCAGTTGACTTGTCCCTGTTAAAAATGTACTCCTTATAATGCTGCTCCCATGACATAGAAGAGATCTATTACTGCTCTTGACTAATCCATGGTATGTTGTATTTCTCTTAAACAGATTCAGGGTACAGAAACAGAGTTCAGTTCGCTGATGAAGCTGTATCACCCAAACATAGTACGTTACATATCTATGAGCCTTAAAGAGCATGACGACTCTATTGTGGTAGACATTTTAGTGGAGCATGTTGGTGGATCCAGCCTTTCTACATACCTGAGCAAAGAGACCCCTATTCCCATTGATCAGCTGCGCTGTTATGCAACCCAGCTTCTGTCAGCTCTCGACTACTTACACAGTAATTCCGTGGTGCACAAAGTTCTGTGCGCTTCCAGTATCCTGGTAGATGCTGAAGGGAATATCAAGGTGACAGACTACAGCATTTCAAAGCGCCTTGCTGATATCTGTAAAGAGGATGTTTTTGAACAAACTAAAGTTCGATTTAGCGAGGATGCTCTACCCAACAAATCTGGAAAAAAAGGAGACGTTTGGCGTCTGGGCTTGCTACTGCTTTCTCTCAGCCAGGGGCAAGTTACCAGGGAATATCCAGTCACTGTTCCTAATGATTTACCTGCTGACTTCCGAGATTTTCTGCAAAAGTATGTACCTGATGTTTTATTCCTTTTTCTTTTGCCATCTTTTTTTTTTTCTGCAATTATCTCTGAAAGAAAAATATTCAAAAGTGAAAACAAATCCATATAGTTTTCTGCCAGCCTGGGGGTGCTCACATATACCAACCCTCATGGCCAGCTGCCTAAAACTGCAGAACCCAACCCAGTGGCAGCAGAGGCCCGATGGACTGCTGGGCACAAGCCAACAATACCCTCCCTCCCCCCCCCCCCCCGCCCCCCTCCCCCCCCCGCTGTCAGCTTCCCCAGCTGCAGGAAGGGGAGAGCTAGCAGAAAATCTCTCCCTAGCTTTCACCTCTGAGAGAGGGGTGGGGAGGGGGAGCACACCACCCAGCCCTGGCACCCTCCAGCTGGGGTCTGCCTGGCATGGGAAAAGTCCCCACTGAGGTGCTTTACATCCCCTGCAGCCTGGCTAGCAGTGCTCTGATTGGCTCAGCTCTGCCCTGTGCCTGTGAGAGGGGGTGGGGGGGAGTGCACACACCTGGCCAGACACCAGTCTCCCTCAGCTGGGGTCTGCCCAGCATGGGGGAAAGACACCCCCACCCCTCCGTAGTTTTTTGCTTCCCTGGCCCAGCTTGCCAGGCTGGGATCAGCTCAGCTTAGCCCTGCCCCCTCCCCAGCCCCTGTCTGTGAGAAGCATGGGGTGGTAGGGGGCTAATATACCAAGCTAGTCAGGCAGCAGGCCCCCCAGCTGGGGGCTTTTTGCTTCCCTTCAGCCCACCTTGCTGGGCTGGGATCAGATCGCATCCACCCCCTCTCCAGCCCTTGCCTGTGAGGGGCACAGGGTGGGGGGCAGACACTGGCTCCCCCAGCTGGGGTCTGCCCCAGGGGGTGGAGAGGAGTGGGGGAAGCACCCATCAAGGGCTGCTCATGCCCTCACAGCCCAGCTTGCCAGGCTAGCATGGGCTCAGCCCCACCTCCTCCCAAGTCCCCCTACCTGTGAGGTAAGGGGAGCAGGAAGGAGAATGCCCTGGCCCAGCACAGGACAGTGCAAGTCCCCACCCTTCCCCCATCCCACCTAGCTGACAGGTGCTGGCTGGGAACAGAGGCTTTAGCTTTGTGATAGCTGGGGGAGAGGCCAGTCCTGCTCCAGTGGAACAGACAGTACAGCCCAGGGCTGCAAAGCATTCTGGGATGCTGGGGGGCTGTGAGTTAACTTGAAACGGGAGGGGATATGGGACAGAAGTCCCATAAACTGTTTGACTTAAATCAGTTAAGTCTGATACTACATCCAACCTGGTTTATCTTAAACCAGTTTTGGCCATTTTGAAAGCAGTTTTTGTACAGATTGTCTGTTCTGTTACAGGTTTAAACCCATTTCAGATCACTTAAACTGGTTTACTTCTGTCCCTAGCCCTAGCTAGTGTACCTGGTCAGAGCAAGCTTTACACCAATGCTTTGAGCTCAGCACACAGCACAGCAGCCATACCCACTTTCACTGACTAACACTGGATTAAGAAGAGAGTGGGGGGCTGGTACCCACCCTTTTTATAGTAGTCTGCTGGTTAAAGCACTTGCCCAAGAGTTGGGAAACATGGGTTTTGAGAGTACGTCCTCCTTCTAGGCCTTGGGTCCCACTCCTGGGAATGCTTATCAGGCTGTAATTGCCTTCCCTCCCTTCTTCTCCACAGGTCTGTGGTTATGCAGTCACACTCCCTCTTACTGACTTTCTTTCTGGTTCATGAGTTTATCATTCTTGGATGCACAGTGGCTTATCTTCAGCCGGAAGAGTCAAGAGTGTTGCCGGCACTGCCTAGCTTATAACAAATCCCCTCAAGTAGAGATGCGCCCAGGACCCAGCTATCTCACTGGGTTCCTGGCAAGTCCCTCCTGCACAATGGGGATAATGCTGCTTTGCTTCCCTTCCCATTTAAAAATATATAGGGAAAATTCGACCTAATGTTCACATGCGTTTTTGAGAAGTCTGTGTTTGGTTTGTTACCAGATGCGTTTGCTTGGAGGATAAGGAGAGGTGGAGTCCTCAGCAGTTGTTACAACACAGTTTTATACACTCTTCCCAAATGAAAATACCTGTAGCAGAAGAAAATGCAGATGGTAAGAAATTCAGTCTCTCTTTCTGTGTCCTAGGTTGTAAGTAATTTATCACACAAAGGTAAACACAAATGTATATATACAACTGCAGCTTTTGCATTTAGTTCAAGATGTATTACAATACTGAAAAACTGTATGTGTGTTTTTTAATAAAATAGTCTAAAAGGTAAAGTCTATAGTATTTTCAAGTTCTATAGTTTCCTGGTAGGAGCTGCCTGATTCCCTACCCCATCTTCAACACTGAGCTGTGAATTAGTGTCCAAACTGTTCTTTTCCTGGTATTTGGCTTTATTGGTAACTCAAAAAGCAAAAGAACAATGCAAATCATAGCCTAATCTTCCCTTCCGTGAGGCTTTTCTGAAAAATTTCCTCCCCTGGTCTCAAATGTCCATACCTATTGTGTTCTTGTTGGAATTGATTTTGTTTACCTACCAGCATGACTCATTCTAAATTAAAAGCCTTCATTAAGGTTCAGATTAATACCTAAGCTTTGTTTGGCACAGCAAAAGAGTTTTGCATTCTGATTTTTATTCTGTCATCATGTCATGCTAATGGTTCCTTAAAATGTCATTATTCCTGATAGCTGATTAACACTGCATCACTTTCCACATTCAGTACTCTGACTGTGGTTTCAGATCTTTTGGTTATCTTTTGGTTTCAGATTCGGCAGGAATAGATTGCCTAGAGACAGTTATTCCCAGTGGTCAGGTGTCCAATGCTGCATTCTTCACAGAAACACAAAGGCAATTGTCACGTTACTACAATGAATTTGAAGAACTACAGCTGCTTGGTAAAGGAGCTTTTGGAGCAGTCATCAAGGTCATTCCCCTTGTAGACCCATTTTGTGTGTGTGTTTAGGGGGGAGGGTTGGTGAAATATATGGGTTTTTTTTAAATGTGGAACTTGTATTATAGATATTATCTTTATACTACGACAATCAATTAATCATTCCCATGACTGTTCACATGATTTTTTTAATGTATTAATCACACACATGGTTTTGGAGCCCGCTCCTGGGCTCCACTCCGCTGCCATCGCGGTTGCCCTGGGCTGTCCTGTGGGGCAATGGTGGCAGTGCAGAGGACTGCAGGGCAGCCCGGGTGTGGGCTCCAGGTGGCTGCAACAGGAAGGGGAGGGGTGCACACAGACACACAGCCACAGCCTGCAGGTGGCCAGGAACACAGCCCAGCAGCGGGTGGAGCAGCACCTAGCAGGGAAGTCTGTAAATGAGAAGGGGCACAGGAGGGAAGGGGAGTAGGGGGAGGGCAGATTGAGGCCCCCATGGTGAGGGAGGGAGTGGGGCACAGGTAGGAACAGATGCTAGGATGAATAGGTCCTCGGGGACAGGGTGGGTCGTGGGATGGAGCCGCAGTTCATCCAGGGGCATGGAGGGGGGGCGCTTCCACCACTGCATGCACCCCTGGGGGAGGCATGTTTCCCCTGGATATGTGTGTGGGGTGGAGGTGGACTGCTGCTGTGGGCTGGGGCTCTGCACCCTGCTGCCATTGCCCTGGGAGCCTCATGATGCCGGGCATGCAGGGGATGCGAGAGGCAGCCAGCATGCATCTCCCAAGATAAAGGCAGCAGGGTGCAGAGCCCCAGCCCAC